ATAATTATTATATATATTTTTATATTTTTATAGTAGTCTGGACATAACAAAATGAGAGGGATCCAAAAATAGTATAAGTATGAGATTGTACTTAAATGAATTAATTTGTACTACTTATATTGATAACATGCATTAGCTTTTTTGTAGCCTATCTCATCAGAACTCCACAGTTAAGCGTGCTTGACCTGGAGTAGTATAGGGATGAGTGACCTTCTGGGAAGTTTCCTAGAAAATGTGCAATAAGGACAAAACATGTTGAAAAATGAAGTGTAATGAAATAGCATCCTTGAGAGGCCAAATATGAGGGTTATTACATTAATAAATTTATTAAAATTAAATAAAAATTTCCTGAAAGTTATCTACGGATAAAATCCGTAGATAACAACTTTCGTGAGTTATCTACAGAAAATTCCGTAGATAATGTTCCGTAGATAACGTTATCCACGAAAAATTCTGTAGATAACGTTATCTACGACCTTATTATCTACGGATTTTTTTTCGTAGATAATCCGTAGATAATTGACACTTATCTACGGATTTTTCATGTTTATCTACGGATTTTTCTGTAGATAATCTTGATTTTTCTTTTAGTGTATATTACTTGATAAGAATTGATGATCTAGATGTGAATTGATTGAGGGGTGTGTAAATCCTTATTTTGTTAGACTTATCTGTTGTGTATGTGATATGGAATTGACTATGAGATGAGATGGAGTATGGATGTGATTATGATTGTGATTGTAGTTCCTCACAGATATGACCAGGGATGAGACGACCCTGGATAAGTGATACTACAGGGATAGCGTGCCCCTGGCATAGTGTGGGATGAGTGAGGCAATTAACACGTATCACTTATGTCAAATATGGCAGCCCTGACATAGGGTTAATTGCAAGAGATTGTGTGGGTTGTAATGTGATTGTGGTTACTCACACTAATGACCAAAGATGAGACGACCATTGAGTAAGTGATGCTACAAGGACGAGCGTGCCCCTGACATGATGTGGGATGAGTGGGGCAATTAACCCGTATCACTTATGTCAAATGTGGCGTGGCCTTTGCATAGTGTTAATTATAAGATTTGTGTGGATTGTGATGAATTAATGTAATTGTGAATTGAGATGTGAAGATGATGAATGATTGATAACTTATGATATATATAAATGCTTGTGAATATTTCATTAAGTAATGAGTAAAGATGATATTATGTCGTGTTTTTCTTATGTGCTTTACATATAGATGTTTTCTTTTCTTACCGTACAATTTGTGGATGTTTTAGATGAGGAAGATCCGGGTATGAGTGGCTTCTAGAATGCCAACAGTTGAATTATGGGTATGCTATGAT